TCTTTAAATTCCGTAAATTTCAAGGAAATTGGAATTTTCCCGGATACGGAAAATTAATTTTTAAAAAGTGTAACAATTTGGAATTTTTTGGATCGCAAAAAAAGACGATTTTTACACGCTTGTCTTGATATTGAACAATCATTTCAAAAATTGCAAATTGGACCCACGTTCTTTATAAACATCTTATAAACACGTTTAAATACGAAAGGTGAGGTTTCATCACACGCCAATTGAGAAAAACGTAATTTTCGAGAGGCCGTAGCTCACAATTTTTTTTGCTAATTTCGGGAATCTCGGGTATGTGTGAGGTTTTGATAATTTTCGGCGTTTAAAATAATATTTCAGAAAACAAACCCCACCACATTTCTGAGTACACATTAGAGTATCACTGGAAAAAATAAGAAGATTTTTTATTTTTCCTCATGTGCCACGTATTCTCGATTTTGCTCGGTTTTAGTGGACATTGTCTCTTAAGTATTTGTTTAGAAATATATCATGAATAGGAAAAAATATGGTTCCACTTGGATAGGAAAAAATAGCCTTTCTACCCTAATTTAAATAGGAAAAACCTCGAAAAAAGATAATAGTGAAAATAGGAAATAAATACTTTGATAAATAGGAATTAAATAGCCCAATAAAATAGGAATTAAATAGCAATTAAATAGTGTTTGATTCTACAAGGGAATAATATAAAATTTTTATCGTTTAACGTATCGCATGTCATAACATTTGACAGCATTAACCGTGATGTCATGACATGTCGGTGATATTCACGCAAAATCGTGGGTAAATTTACACTTCATTTTTTGCGGTGGATCACACCACCTTCATTAAAGCGTAGATAGACTATTGTTGCAAATGATTTGAATTCATTAGGCTATGAATTCATATATAATTGTTATTTTTCAATAGCAGCAATTCATTGGGCATATTCAAATTCATTGTGATATCCGCCATGTTGAATCTGCGACAATTCAGGACAGAGCCGTTCAGCTTCAAATTTGACAAAAAAGTGAAAGATATACAATATTAAAACTAGGTTTATTCAATTCAATATCATATCTCGTTTTAGCAATGCAAAAGTTGCCAAAAGAAAGGTTTTGATATATGCGAAAATAATATTAAACTTCATTTCAAGATTGCTTTTCTAATTATAAGAATATTATTCTAGGATGGGAAAATGTTATTCTTAAAATAAGAAAAAAGTCTCCCGAATATTCTTGCCCAGTTATATTTTCTTACTTTAAGATTTTTGTTCTTAAAACTAGATTTTTTCTTGAAATATTTCTTGATAAGAAATATTTACTTAAAATAAGAAAAATAATCTAAAAAATCAGAATATTATTCTAGACTAGAATTTGATTTTTTGCAGTGTTAATATACCCTTCAGTATATGAACATGTACTAGTGTTCAGCAAATCAATATTAAAATCTCCCATAAATATGCAATACTTATTTTCTCTGGAGACTTTATCAACAATATGAGACAAAAAGTTAGTAAATAGTTCACGATTACTTCTAGGATGCCTATACAAGATTCCACAAATAATGTTTTTATGTGGGCTACAGTCAATTTCTATCCATAGAGATTCATAATCCATGGTTGCCGAAGTAAAATCGTCCCTAATAATATATTTAATATTTTCATTAATGTAAAATCCCACACCGCCAGCATTAGTCAGTGAGGGTAAGGATACTAATTCGTATCCAGAAAGACTTGGTCCACATCCTTTTTTATCTTGTCCCAGACAAGCCGATAATACTAAAATTATCATTTAGATCAGCTAATAAATTACACAGTTTATCATAATTTGCTTGTAGAATTCTTATATTACAGTGCATAGTAGAAAATGAGGTTTTACTGTTAGCTGATCTAATAATTTCCTGACTCGTATGGAAATCATGAGGAGTATAATAATTAAAATTGGTTAAAGATATCTTTCGGCATCTGAGTCTGTACTAAGATTTAATGTAAAGCTCATATAATTCAATAACACTTACAGTATTTTTTTTCAATTTGTGAAACAAAACATTTAGTGTTTTTTAAGTGCAAACAAAACGCTTAATTAATTAGTTTTGCCATACGAAAAGTTTCTATAATATAAAAACTGAGGCTCACCGAAGCTTTTTTCGAGTCAAATTAGTTAAAACAAAATATCAGACACAGTGAAACGTGTAATGCGTACAGGTATATACGATAATATACACGATTCACACTTTTTTGTGACTTCAGTTATGGATGGCTCAAGGTGTTTTCTCCCAGTTTGTCATGGGGGTGGTGAGGAGAAGAGATTCACCGAGAGAGGCATCCACAAACTAATCTCGTGTGCTCATTCCCGTGGAGATGTGGATACAAAGGCTAAGCTGCAGGACATCATCGATGTTGATGGTAATGCCGCGAGCATAGTTTGCCACAAAGGTTGCTACTGTACTTATACATCGAAAGAAAAAATTAACCGAGTTAAAAACTCGCTAAAACGAAAGGCTGAAGGAGAATGTGTTAGGGTGGCTACAAGGTCATTTCAAGCTCAAGCAGATGATAATGGTGCATTTTGCTACAAACGCGATTGCATATAATTCTGTGGTGATGAATGTTTACCAAAAGATGATAAACACCCAGATAGATGGGACCGTTTTCGTGAATGCATGACGCATGAACGTTATGATAAAGAACATAATCCACTTCAATCTATGAAAGATGTTATTCTTGAGGTAGCTGAGCAGCGTAATGACGATATAGCTAGAAGGGTCAAGTTACACATTGGTTTTGTTTCTGACTTATCTTCTGCCGAGTGCAAATATCATGTTCGCTGCTACAACAATTTTATGAAAATTCCCAAATATGCCGACTTACCAACTGGAAACGTAGATGATAACGCCCTTAAGCAGGTCATTGAGTTCTTGAACGAAAACAGGTATAAAATCTGGAATAGCGTTGAAATGCATTGCCTATACTCTGATCTAGGAGGCAAACTATCACGACGCGAGATGTTTAAAAAGTTGACTGACTGCATTGATAAAGATTGTTATTCGGGTAGATGGGTGTGCTACCCTTGTTGGTTACCGTGAGTCTATTGCTAAAACTCTCAAGGTAGTCCAGGTGGTTGAAACGGATGAGAAAAGCAGTGATTCTCTATTGAGGAAAATCAAGCGTGAGGCACGATCAGTCAAGTATAACAGCGCTAATTACGACTTATCTGAGTTTACACGAGCTAACACAATCAAGGCAACCAGTCCCACATTGTTGACATTGATTTCGGATTTAGTTTCTGGTGGTGAAGTTACCAAGAAATCGCTCAGTCTGAGCCAGTCAATTCAAAGTCACATTACAGGTACAAGAAATCAAACAAAACTAGGATTGGGCGTAAAACTTCAGCATCGGTATGGCAGTTCCGAACTCATTAAGCTACTTCATGAGCATGGATTCATATCCACTTACGATGAGGTGCTAAGATTTCGGAAATCAGCTGCTCGTTTTCTCGGAGACAACGCACCGATTCTCCATCAGTTCATGGGGCTAAGTAGATCTGTTGGCATTATCTTTGCATGGTTTGACAACCTTGATCTCCAGGTGTTTGCGCCCAACGGTCGACGCAGTACTCATGTCCTTTCGCATGAATTCCAGCAACTGCATCCTGCAGGTATTCCAACCGCATCGTGCAAAGCCAGGGGAAAGCAATCTCATTATCCCCAGACTTTCTAAGAAGGCCGCACAGTCTAGGAATAGCAATAGTTCATCGGGCAGCCTTTCTTTACAGCACTACACCGGAAAGGTCAAGGTCAATCCCCCCACTATCCAAGTTACATCTGGTATTTCCTGTGAAGAAATACGTGCACGACAGACAAGTCTTGTTACTGCACAAGAGAAGGATATTAAGTGGCTTAACACACTTAACACACAGAGTGAAGCGTTGGAGTGGAGCGGGTTCAACAATCTCGAGTGACGCAATCTTGAACGTATGCTCCACTACTTCTTTGTCGCTGGCCACCACAACTACGCCCGTTACCTCACCCACCACCTCCTTGAAATGCACTATTTGCTGCCACCGATGGCCAAAGCAGAGTTGATATCAGTTGCCTTTGTGTGCCGTCATCAGGAGGGAATCTGGAATGGTGTGAGTTCTGACCAGTTTGGCGAGCAAACTGCCTTTAGAATCGGTAAAGGTGGACTGAAAGGTATGACCCTTTCTCCAGAGATGGTTGCTGAATGGATCGATTCGTTTCCCATCACTGCCTACATCTCTGATACCATGCAGCATTTATATCCTGCTGATGCAAGTGAAACACGAAATGTTCCACGTCACAAGGAGGAAGGACAAAAGCGGAGAGAAATGGATGCCGATGATCGAC